CACACACACACACACACACACACACACACACACACACACACACACACCAGAGTCCCAGACTGTGAGATGAGTCACAGGGGAAGACGACGCTGTGAAGGTGCTGCTGTTTAGCTCCAACACCGACTGAGCGAAGAATAAAAATATCCAATAAGCTTTTTGTCCCACGCTGCATGCCGTCTTTAATTTCTGCACTGAAGCTCTGCAGCAGAGTGTGAAATTAACTGGACAACAATTGTTGCGTTTGTTAAAAATCTCCCATTCAACCTACACTGTGTCTTAATTTAACACAAACATGTTGAACATGTTGAACGGTTTCCGACATTAAAGCTCCACTCAGAGACGCGAGCAACCAGTCTGAACTGGATTTTAAATATGATAACAGTGTTTATCGCCTCCGTTTGTCTAACCGGACAGATGTGTTTCCTTCAGCAACATGAATCCACACTAAAGTAGTAACTTTAAACCAGAAGACATTTACAGTTTTCATTCTCCCTCCGTCTTCCGTTTCATAAACTCTGAGTGGAGACATTTTAACAGCGGTTTATGCATAAAGATTTATACGTTATGTGCTCAGATAAATCCCAGCAGGATATTTTGTTCTAACGTTGACCTCGTCAGTTTTTCTTGAACATATTTGCTGGTAGATTCAGAGATTTGCAGAAACTATTAAATCTGCTACTTTTTAGTTTGTATTAACAACTAAAAAGTCGTTTTTGTGCCTTTATAGTAACATTCATTACTAAGACATTGTGTTTATCCGTTTATCTGGATAAATGAGCCCAAAACGGCTCACGTTTCAATCTAATTACCTAAAGCAGCTTCTTACAGCAAACTACTGTTTGGATCTGCAGCTCTTAGAAACGAACTGTCTGAAATGTTTGTAGAGAATTAAACCTCTCGTCACCGTCCTGATGAAACAGTTCTTTACCTCCTGTTGTTTCTGGGACGTTTGTTTGATTTTGGGAAGATGAAGGCGAGGGGGGGGGATGAGGAGGAGGAGGGTGCAGCTGGAATTTGATTTTAAGTTTCTTTCTTTCGCAGACGACAGCAATCAGCTTCCCGGGTTTGAACAACACTTCACCAGTGAGACGACTGACAGCAAACAAACAAAAAATAATAAAAAATAACTCTAATCTTTCTTCCAGAGCCTCCTGCATCACCATGGCAACTGATGTTTTCTGCAGCTCTCTTGACACAAACAGATATTTGAGTCACCACCTCGGAGACCTGACATCAGAAAAACCTTAAAACAAAGAGTGAAGTTAGAGACTCCGCGGCGGGCGTACCTGCGTCTGGATGCGGTTCAGACCTCTGAACCAGAGGATCTGGCCTCTCCTCAGCTCCATCTCGGCGTGGTCGATCTCGTCGGCGCCCTCCGTCAGCTCCTCCGCGTGCATCTCCTCCTTCGTGGTGCCGTGACCGGCTTCCATCAGGAACTTCAGGCGGTGGGTGGGGATGGCTGAGATCAGCTGAGATTGAAAAAGAAGAAGAAAGTTAAGGGATCACTTTCACACATAAAGTTCAGTTTACTGGTCATAGTTAACTCTAGACAACCATAGATTACAAACTGGGGGGAAGTTAAAAAGACGTGGGGTTTTTACCAGGCAGGGTTTAACAAAAAGATGCTATCCAGTTGCATTATGGGAAATGTAGGATCTAGTGTTTGTGGAGCTTGACTTCTTCAGTCAAGAACATCTCGCCGTCTCTGGCTGTAACGAATGTCTTTACATTCAAATCTTCTACTGATGTTTTCAAATGAAGCTTTGAATGTCTTTTTGAAAAAACGACAAAATCCTCAATTTGAATAAAGCGATTGATAGGATTAAATAAGTTACTCTTTTGTTTTTAATTAAATCAACCTAATTTAGTGAATATAGCTCGTCTGTGCTGCCTCCCTTTGTGAGCGGCAAACGTTTTTTTGAACGCGGAGAAAATATTGTTTTTGAAAATCTAAACGCCAACAAATATGGATTGAAGGGAATATACGTTTGATAAAACCATGTCGTGAATGTGACATTTCTTTCAATAAATTGGGACTTTTGAATGCTCTGGAGTTATTGGAAATGTTTGCATCAAACAAGTCTGAACCGATCCTACACAGAGCAACCACTGGAGTCTATTGATACAAACAGAATAATACTAATTACTACCGAGCCGGTTTTAACCGACTACGTTATCTTATCTAGTGTGGAGAGGCTGAGCCCCGCACTCAGGGAAACACCAGAGCAGACGATATTAATGATCGTGTGGTGCGCCGCTGCGCAATGATTAAAGGCAAACACTGATTAGTGAAGCCTAATCTGTATCTGCAACTGTGCAGGAATACCAGGTTTAATAGACACAGAGTGAACAGACACGCAAAAGAAAATAAAAAAAGCCGCGCAGGATTCAAATGTTGAATTTAGAATTTGAACGTCAACGTTCTGAATGAATCTTTGAAGCTTGAGTCCAAATAAAATCTCTTTAAGTCTTTAAGTCTCATATCGCTGGTGAGTCCCTTTAATAACTTAAATAAACATGAGAGGAAGTTCTTCCTGAATTTCAGGGAAAGTTTGACAGCTTAGATTTATGATCAAACTCATGAAAGCTCTTTATAGATTTTTTACTATAGAAATCCTGTCAAATCAACTTACAACTTACAAAATTCTTCATCTTAAACTGAACTGAAGCTTGATTCATTTTTAACAGAGACAACACTAATGGAAACTAAAATAACACGATTATTTTTCTGTACGTATTTAGTTCTGTTCATTTATTTCCGTTGCTCTTATTATGTCACACTATAAGTTACATTTTATTTCATCAGTGATCACACGCCCAGCCTCCAGCCGCACATCACCTTGTTATAGTCGTGTCACCTTCTCTCTCCGTTAGAAACGAAACAAATCACAGCCCTCAGATCAGATCCGTCTGCCCTCCAACTGAACCCAGCAGGCTTCTTGTGACTGAACCTTTCTTTTCTATAAAATGTATGCTTTCTAAGCCTGTGTGTGTGTGTGTGCGCACAGAGGGACTGACATGCTGGGTTTGTTTTCCCTCGGCGCTCGTAAACAGGAGCCGCGCTGCTTTCATGTGCCGCGCTCATTACCATGGCGATGGTCGTGATAGCAACGCTGCAGCAGCAGCGCGAGTGCAACAGTTTGCTGCCTCAGACCTCACGCATCCACCTCTCCATCTTCTCCTCACCACATGATGTTTATTCACAGAGATCAAGACGCCGTGTGTTCGGAGCAGAACTCCTGTGGTTCTGGTTCCGGTCTCACCTGTCCCCACAGCAGCTCTCCCACGCCGATGAAGATGCACCACAGCCACTGGTCGATGGTCAGAGCCGTGCAGGAGAACGGCTTCCCTCCGAACTGAACGATGACGATCTGAGGAGGAACACAACCACACGGGACGCGTTAGCCGAGTGGTGCCGCAGTCTGAAAGGATCAGACTTCTAGATTTGTTTAGTTGTAAACAAATGCTCATGCGTAAACCAAAACAAACGATTTACTGATCCACCAACAAGCATGTGGATCCAAAGCCTTCTTACTCTGTGCCACAGAGCGCTATTGTTGTCCAGAAACGATTAAAAACTCATCAATGAGTCTCATTGTTGCACTGGGTGACATGTTCGTTCATTCATCACCATACACACACACACACAGAAGTTTAATTTTGACTCAATCACACACACACACACCGTCCAGCAAATACTCACTAGAGCACCACATGTGGATTAATCCTCCTGTTTGAGTGACTACAGTGAGCAGCTGTTTTAGGACATGAAACTATATATTTGTTAACTGTTTGTAAGGAGGAACCATAGGGCTCGTGGAGAAGTTTGTGAAAACAAACACAAAGACAAGAAATATCCACGCCGACTGTCGAACTAACTTCAGCCGGGTAACTTTGCATTAACTTATTTACTTGGTTTTCACGACTAAAAACAGATCATGACACATCTCATCTGATCAATTTAGTTAACAGATTGCATCGGTAACTCCTTACAAGTAGGTTATGTTTTCAGTTCAGTTTGTTGGTTTGTTTGTCAGGATTACGGATAAATTACGAGCCCAGTTTGACGATGACGATGGAGTTACCTGCAGGGCGAAGGTCCCCACCACGACACTGCAGAAGATGGGGTTCCTGTAGATGCCCTCGAACACGTTCCTCTCTCCGTGGATCTTCCTGGCGTTGATCTCGTTGAAGAGCTGCATCATGACGAACACGTTGAACACGATGGTGTAGTGCTCCGACGGCGGCGAGTGTAGGGGAGTGTTGCGTCCGTTATCGATGTCGAAGATCGACTCGCCTGAGAAACAAACAAAAAAGTAAAAATCTCTACATCCGTGAATCTCCTTTTGAAATGGATTCACATGCAGAGCAAAGTGATTCCTCCACTGAGGTGAACCCGTCTGATTTCTCCAGTCTGAAGTGTGTTTGACTCACCAGCGAAGAGCAGGGTGAAGATGATGACGAGCTGGTACACGGCGTGACCCAGGATGTTCTTCATCATGGTCCTGGAGATGAGAGGCTTGTTACGGCCGTACGGTCTACGGAGCAGCAGAGACTCGGTGGGTGGCTCGGTGGCCAGAGCGAGAGACGCCAGAGTGTCCATGATGAGGTTGACCCAGAGCATCTGGACGGCCTTCAGAGGAGAGTCCTGGAGGAGGAGGAGGAGGGGTCAGGAGTTTAATGTACAGGAAGGAATGGAAATCTGAGTGAGCAAACGATAAAAAAATATGAGAGTCCATCCCTTAAAGCTTTGGCATATGTGCACAGTTTTCTTCCTAAATTAAAGGGCCAGTGTGTAGGATTTAGTGGCATCTAGTGGTGAGGCTGCAGAATGCAACCAACTGACACATCTGCCCTGTGCTCAGCGTCTAGAGCCAGTGTTTGGTTTGTCCATTCTGGGCTTCAGTAGAAACACGGCGGTGCAACATAGTGGACTCCGTAAAGAGGACCTGCTCCGTATACAAGGGCTCATTTTACGGGAACAAAAACACAACAATTCCTTTTTTTCAGGTGATGACACGCAAAAGAAAACTTATTGATATCTTATTCCATATCTGCCAAATGCTTCACACTGGCTCTCAAATCATTTTCAACTTGCACAAACGCCTCAGTTCACCTCGAGTCCTTCAACAGCGGGTTGCATTTATACGCATTTCACGTTCAGTGTGAACACACTTTGAGAAAGTCACCTCAGGACGACGTGTCTGCAGACTGCAGCGCCTGGCGGAGTCCGCCTCTGGACTCCAGCCAGGTGGACACAGAGAGCGATTCAATGTCACTACATATTGTTTGCTGCTCCGCCCATCAAAGAGCATTAAGTCCACTGGGACATGTACCGGTGGATGTTGTTGAGTCCGTAAGGAACCACGAGATCTGCAGACGCTGAAAACTAAAAATGCCTTCTCTGCATGCTTTTCAGGTAAAGAAGTTAAATTCAGATTTCCATTTACAGGAAATGTTCTCCTGAAAAGATGCTGAATCAGTTGAAGATAAAAGGAAAGTCTCTGTCTTCTTCCTTGTCAAACCCTGGCACCTACATTACCCACGATGCACCAGGATGTGTTATGCTAATAGCAGCTACTGGTAATGGTAAGCTCACTCCTTTCTCACTTCTCACCTCCATATATATTTTTTTCTATTTTAAAACATGTCGTCTTCAGCACCAATCGATGCCGACTCAAGTGACATCACTCGAGGCAAGTAATCAGACTTTGCCGCTCCGACAAAGAACATTTTTTAATAAAAAGAGTAAAAATAGATCTCCTGTAGTTCACAACATGTTATGTACCATAATAATATGCAATTATTTGATGGTGTTAAATGCATATAAAAGCATTTACACACATTTCACTGGACCCCCTCCACTTGTGACACCAAACCTACGCGCCCGAGACATTCCTCTGTTCACACATTAAAAGACACACATCGGTTTACCATCTTTTAATGATCTGTGCCAACATGTCGGTGGCCGAACAGAGAGCCAGCGCTGGATGATCAGTGAGTACAAACACAGCGCAGAGACCACAGACCTGCTGAGCCTCGGTTACATTACAGGATTATGACGGTGACGTGTTGCCATGGGTCCAGGCTGTATCTCAGCCTACTTTGTGCTCCGTGCTCCGTCGCCGAGTTAGTTATCGGTCCTGCCAGCTGTGAGCCTTTCAATTAATGCACAGCCGCAAGTTACTTTTATTTTTTATTGTGTCAGGAGTTTAGTTTCCTGATTAGAGGCACGTTATGAAACAAAACAAAAAAAAGTGACACAGCTTCTTGGCCTCCGCACAGCGCTCAGACGGTCGCATCAGAAAATGACTCACTGTTTTACTTGTTTCTGTGGAGATTTGATCAACAAGAAATTTAAAGAAGCCTTAAAATTCAACACAGCCATTAATACACAAGCTTGAGCTCATGTTTAAAATCCACAGAGAAGGTAGAAATACTGATTCTCTAACGGCTGAGTGTCACAGCTCAGGTTCTCTTTCAAACGTGTGCCTCCTGAATGTTGAATCAGCTGACTGAAGACAGGGACGTGGCACATTTAAACCTGCTGATATTAAAGCTTAAAATCCGTGGAGGACAATTTGACTTTTTATCTGAACTGTAGGGAGTCAGCCTGAGCTTTCTGTTCTCATCAGAGTAAAACGTTAAGAGGCAGTGGGGTCATATGATGTAGAGAATAGCATAGACTTCCTGTTCTCTTAGAAGCACAGAGTTTGTGTTCTCTCTAAATGTGTTCGGAGGGATTTTTTTAAAACCATCAATTATTTGACAATAGAGCACAGCAGTGCTTTGAGCTATTGCTAACGTTTAGCAGGTTTAGTCTTAACTTAGTAAGTTAGCATGCTAACATTTGCTAATTAGCAGAAAACACAAAGTGCAGCTGAGGCCGATGGGAGTGTCATGAGTGGAGCCGGTATTTAGTCATAAACAAAGTGACCTGATGTTGGAAAGTCAGGAAATCACCAAACTTATTACAATTCAGACATAAGTGAAACATCTGAAACAAATACCATGAGGATCCATCAGATAGACCTGGAGTAGTGGACCGACCAACGAGAGTCAGAACGCTGATACAAAGAAGACCAGAGCTGCCAATATTCAAATTAAATAAACTTATTTGTCCATTTATGTGCATATGAAGTATGACAACACAACAATTTTAAATATTTAAATCTAAAATTGCATAATTCCTTCCAAACACAGACATTATGATGATGTAATTGAATGTGACAAGGACGCTTTCAAAATGGGAAACGAACTTGAAAATGAAACTAAACTCGACTTTTACATTTGAAATTTGAATTCTGTTTTGATTTGAGTTCAGTTATAATGAAAAATTAAGTGGAAATGTCCTTTTTATGGTACATTTCCATGTGACCTGGTGTTCACTGGATCGCACCAATCACAGGACACCGTGTCCAAATTTAGGCATGTTTGTTTCTGAAGAGTTATGTGAAAATGAAAGATAATTACACAAATATTAAGTTAACAATGGGATTTTGAAAATGTCTTATCATAAATTATGTGCACAAAAAAGTACAACGGAATTTAAATGAATGAATTTTGACTGAATGATTTCAGGATGATATTGGCGTCCTTGGACTTCCATATTAAACCATAAAGACACTGAATGTTCGGTTATAACGACGATATGAAGGAGTTGATTGTTTTAAACCAGCTGGTTGATTTCAGCGTTAACAGCAGATGTTAACTGGTCCATCATATTCATCCTGGTGTTTAAAGCGGCGACACCATGAGCAGTAATCCCACGTCGGCCTTCAGCCTACCTGTGTGATGCAGGCGCCGGTGAACGCCACGATCACGGCCACCACGTTGACGGTCAGCTGGAACTGCAGGAACTTTGAGATGCTGTCGTAGACGTTCCTCCCCCACATGACGGCCTTGACGATGCTGGTGAAGTTGTCGTCGGTCAGGATGATGTCGGACGCCTCTTTGGCCACGTCTGTGCCGGCGATTCCCTGACGAGCAGAAAGGTGGAGAGGTTCATTGTTTAAGACTGAAACTGAATAATCAGACAGCAGCTTCACAGTTGCACTCGTGATGTTCCTTCATTCCCATGAACACACACTAAAGTGTATTTTGACTCAAACCCACTGGGCCGGGACCCTCAGGGGGGTCACATGAGATTTTATCAGGGTCGCCAAATAAATTTAACGCGCTGGGAGATGATCTTTAAGGTAGGAAAGTAGAAACACAAATTCTTTTGTTTTACAAACAGTGGCGGCTCACTTGAAGTACCAACTATATGCTGGAGGCTTGTTTTACCCACCTGACCAGCGGCCTCTGGTTTTAAGTATAGTGCAGCTAAATATTACAGAGCTTTAAGTCACAGTATTGTTAACGTGTCAGCGACAGCGACCGTCAAGAAGCTGTGATGGTCGCTGTGTCTCTCTGCAGAGTCAGACTCTCCCAGACAGACGGAAGTGGGTCGCTCTCCGTTTTCCAGCCGAACAGGTGATAATTGAACTGGGACACTGGGGTGTGAAGTGAAAATATTCCGAATGGGACACATTAGGACTGAAAGGTCAGCGGATTAAATCCCCACACTGCCTCTGTGGTGCGTTTAGGAGCAGTAGGTTTTGTCAGAGGGCTGTTTGACTGCTCAGCAGCACTCTGGTGTGCGGATGACTTTCGTCAGTAAACAAAAAGGTCACAACAACACACAGAGGAGGCAGCTGACGTTGCCGAGCTCTTCCACAGGCAATTTACTGGGCCTTTAATTCATCGGCCACAATATCAGCTGATCATTTGGTTCAGTGCAGCTCTTTGTGCTCGGCCGTGAGAAACCAAGCACTGTGAGTATGTGTGGATCAGCAGCAGCTGAAATATTCATTGATGATAAACACTGATAGTGAGCGGAGCTGCTTCACACAACGCTACTACTTTATTTAATTATTCAAGCAAGGGAAGCCGATGATTTGTGATTACCTTATTATTATTATTATTTAAGAATTATCACAAAAACAAAGATGTGTCATATCTTGTTTCTTAACATAAATGTGAGGTAAAGTGATTCCGGGATAATATTGTGAATATACAATTTTTTTGGCCTTGATAATCGTGACATGTCTGACAGACATAAACCTAAATAATAAGAGGCAGCACCAGTCTCCCTCTCTGTGAGCTGGTCTCTGGAGAAGCAGCACAGGGACCCCTCTGTGCTCACGGCATCCAAGCTCGACATTTATTGATTTATTTTTCCATTTCACAGCTATCTTAATGAATCCACGGCATTAAAACTCCAGAGTTATTGAGGATGACGTTTAGAGATAATAGCATTTTTCATGGCTGCATTTGAAATGTAATTAACTCAAAGGCTTTTTTCTTTTCGGTCATGATGCGGAGCAAACTGGAGCAGCGGATGAGTGGAACAGTGAAGAGCTGTGGAGAGGAAAAGGTGAAGCCTACCATGGCGAAGCCAACATCGGCTTTCTTGAGAGCGGGGCCGTCGTTGGTCCCGTCTCCCGTCACGGCCACCACCTGCCGGGTGTCAAGCACCGTGCTGTCGATGATACCTGATCAACAACAACAACAACAATTCTCCATTTAAATGAGTGGAAGAACATTTTAACTCATTCATTTAAAAACAAACATTCCTCGACTATTGACCGTAGCTCAACTAGAGTTCAACCAATATGAGATGTCACCTCCACACAAGGACAAAAACAACATGTAATAAGCAGTAAAACATGCTAAACAATAAACATCACATAATACTGAACCCACCTTTGACCAGAGTGTGTTTGTCTGTCGGAGAGGACCGAGCCAGAACACGTAGTTTGGGCCAAACTTTGTCCAGACGCTCTTGTTCCACCTAGAAATGTAACACGTGGAAAGTAGAACAGCAGCTTCATGTACCAAAGACTGTGATGTCACACACAGTAAAGAAACCATAACCACCATCACATACCAGACTGACATGAGACAGAGAGTAAGAAACAAACTGAAGTCTGCTGCAGCAGATAAATATTATGAGCTCATTGCAGATACGTCGGTGTGTGTTTTGGGGAGGAACAAGAAATGGCAGAAATCAAAAAGCCCATATTCGTATATCTTATTATATCTTAGTGACAACTCTTTAAACAAAACTCATCTAAAAGGATCTGTATTAAGATTGTTTGTTTAAGAGTTATTTTAAAGAAAATATTTACTAACAATTGTTAACAGACCTTTTTCATTTTAAGTAGTTTATGCTTTCTTGTGGGAATTTGCCAAAATATGACACGGGGTGTTTGTCTGTTACCTCATTAATAAAACACAACGATCATTTATTGATCGGTTCTACAGTGAGTCGGACTATAAATAACATCAACAACATAAGTCTCCTAAAAACCTCCATGTTGGCGTACAAATAACCAAAGTGAAGCAGAACAAGGATGTAGTTTGTCACAAGATTTTCTATCATTAGTCACATCAATTTTTCTGTATCGATGACAAATCCTTTTTTTGTCTGCGTTAAACTCACCTCTCCCTGGTCGTTTCTGATCTGCTGGTTGAACTCTTTGCCCTCCAGACACAGGAAGTCCTCTCCGGGCAGCAAGATGCCACACTTGGTGGCGATGGCGCGGGCGGTGTTAATGTTGTCTCCGGTAACCATACGCACAGTGATGCCTGCGCGCTGGCACTTAGAAATAGCCTCGGGTACCTGGAAGAGAGAAAGACGTGTCATGAAAACCTGAAAGATGAGCACAGACGTTCAGAGAAACTCGCCAGCTTCTCTTCCTCATCTATAAATCGGTTTAAAGGAGATTTAAAACACGCTCACTCATCTCGAGTTTTTTTAGTCAAACAGATCCAGAATCACATTTTCAGACCTCAACATGTTGGACTAGACTCAGCCAACAACAGCAGCAGGTTCTCCACTGTAGTTGCTCTTTATCCAAATGGAGACCTCATTCATCTCAGATAATAGAGTGAATAAAAAAGAGATACAGACAGACATCTGTGAGCAATCACAGAGCTGCTGGCTACTTCCTCTGCTCAGCAGGAGGCTCAAACCGGCATTTGAAGGAGGCTGACAGGAGTAATGTGTCTGCTGACGAATACAAACACACATCCCATCTTTGATTCACTCAGAGGGGAGCCTTGACCATTGGGACGTTTTACCTGGGACCTGTTAGCTTTAGCACAATATCATGTACATACCATCTACTGTATAAACCTACCACTGTTTCAAAAGTGGTGATTTATGACGGTAAATCTGAGAGAACTGTAAACTACATGTGTGCTGCACTAGAATGGAAAGCTGCCAGGCGTATGGCAACAGAAACAAGGGAGGGGTTTAGGAATGTTGTGCCTAAAAGCTGAAACCTTGTGAAGGCTTTCGTCCATCACATCACAGGTCGTGTAGCGATAACTGGAGAGCAGCAGGCGTCAGGTTATTTCCATGCGGTCTATGTTCTTTGTGCTCCGACATTAAAGCAGCAGGCAACAACGCCGATGCTGCGTGAGCTTCATGACAGGCTTCATTTAACACTTCAGAGCATCTGAACACCTGACACTCCACTGTTCATATTGTTCCTTTATCTCAACTCCGTCATGGACTGTTGAATGTTTTCAACCCAACATTTTTCCTTTAATGTAATAATGAGCAGCCTGTCGGATCAGTCGGTTGAAGTTTCAACCATTGAGGAAGTATGAGGTGTAATGACGTTCCTATAATAACAATTAAAGATTAAATTTCCTCTGTACCTCGGGTCTGACGGGGTCCTCGATGCCGACCACGACGATGCAGGTGAGCTCGTTCAGGATCTCGTTCTCGTTTTCCCAGTTGGGCTCCCCGGCCTCGGCGGGGAAGTCCCTGTAGGCCACGCAGATGGTCCTCAGACCTTCACACGCCATGGGCTCAATCACCTTTCGCACCATCTCGTCACGGTCCTTCGACTTGAAGACGCGAGGATGACCCCGGGCGTCCAAGACACGGGAGCATCTGGAAAGAGAAAATGAGAAGTGTCACCCATTACGCCATCCACCCGTTCCCTCTGGCAGATGAACACTTTTCAGTTGACTTGATCTCTTTTCTTACTTTCTGAGGACGATCTCTGACGCTCCTTTGCTGTACATGCGGTAACCTCCGTCAGCGTTCTTCAGCACCGTGCTCATGGACTTGCGGGAGGAGTTGAAGGTGTAAACCTTGTAGAGTTTCTCTTCGGGGATCTCATCTCTGATTGGCTGGTAGTCCCTCTTCAGCGCCAGCACCAAACCCAGCAGAGCGCACTCGGTCTTGTTGCCCACGTGGCGAGGCAGGCCGCCCTCTTTCTCCGGAGGCTGAGGAGGAGCAAAGGGTTTGGATGAGAAAAGAGAGGTTAAGAGGCACAGAGGCATCTGATTGAGAGGACCAGCTTTCGACTTTGAAAGTGTGAACAAGAGATTTGGTTTAGGTTGTCGGTGGTTCTCACCAGGATCTTGGTGGTGTACGCCGAGTTGATGGAGATGCTGTTGATCATAATTTCCAGAGTCTCAGGTTTGATGGCGTCGGATTCGGGCACGGTTCTGTAGTGCGTGTCGCCGACGTACGCCTGCACCACCGTCATGCGGTTCATGGTCAGCGTGCCCGTCTTGTCCGAGCAGATGGCCGTGGCGTTGCCCATGGTCTCACAGGCGTCCAGGTGACGCACCAGGTTGTTGTCCTTCATCATTTTCTAAAATATGGAGAAGCAGGGCAGAGCTTAAGGTTTGCTTTAAGACATAGTTTAGGGAAGTACATGACTTAAAGGCCTTAAAGTTGAAGTGTAAGTGATAAATATAGTTATCAAAACCTAAAAGTTATTCTAAAAATCCATGGATCTTATATTTCCCACAATCCCCTTTGTTCCCCATCCTGCTCACCTTGACAGAGTAGGCCAGAGAGATGGTGACGGCAAGCGGCAGCCCCTCAGGAACGGCCACCACCAGCACCGTCACGCCGATGATGAAGAACTTGACGAAGTACTGGATGTAGATGGGGGTGCACTCGGCCACCCAGGAACGACCCTGGATCCCGAAGGTGTCGATCACAAAGTAGAGGATGAGGATGATGACGGTCGCAGCCGACATGATCAGACCTGGTTAGAAGGAGCCGAGTTTAAAACACAAGCACACGTCCTGTTGGTGTCAAGTCCGTTTTATGGATTTGGAGGCCACTGGTTTCCACGGCGTGGAATATGAATTATATCCTGGAGGTAGTATCCTATTACAGCAACCAGCCTGTGTTTTTGTTGTGGCAACACTTACGGTGGTGCTTTCAGGGACAATCAGATGTCCAATAACTCCAAGAAAAGAAAGTAAGTACTGTAAGTAAACATATGGTTTGGTTGAGGCTAACAAAATATATTTTGTTGGTTGGTTCAATTTTGAATTCCATGCCTTTCTATGTTTTCTTTCTGTCTTTACTGTTAATTATCAAATAGTCAGTGTCATAGTAAATATATATAAGTAAAGTTTTCATGTTGGTGAATGCATTTATCCTTTAATGTTTAACTCGACTGACTGCTGAATGCACTTTGAAACATTTGCATATGTAAGGCTTGTAAAACGCACTGAAATCACAGACGGTGTATCTGATTAAACCAAAGGCAAAAAGGTACGATTGGTTTATAGTTATCAACAGAATATTAACAGGAAGCCTCGGTACTTAAAGGTCCGGTGTGTTGGACCTCACATCAAGCGGTGAGGTTGCAGATTGCAACCAGATTGCGAAAACATGAAAGGTCTATGGCTCTCTAGAGAGGCAGTGTTTGGTTTGTCCCTTCTGGGCTACTGTAGAAACACGGCCGTGCAACAAGGCGCACTCCCTGAAGAGGAACTATATGTAGATATAAAAGGCTCATTCTAAGGTTGAGAAAACGCAACAATTCTTATTTTCAGGTGATTATTCACTAAAGAAAACATACTTATTAATATCATATTCCATTTCTTCCTATAGATCCCCCTAAGTGCCACACACTGTTCCTTTTTATGAGACAAAAAAAGTTTGTTGTCTCATAAATATTTGCCTCCGAGTCAGACAACCCCCCCGAGTGTAGCATCCGAATCAGAGGAGACCAAGTGGAACAGAGGAATCCAGTGCTCATGTCTTTCTGCTTCACCTCTCCCGTCAGTCACCTTCTGTCAAAGTGTTACGGCCCAAATTCTATTTCAGCAGTTTAAAACTGAAACCTGTCCTGAAAGCCCCTCCGTGTATTAAGGTCAATTGAAATAGCACCGAAAATACCTTCAACTCCGGGATGAATCCTGTTCCCAATAAAACTGAGTGCATTCTGACCCTCTTCACTGCCTGATCACTTTGCGTGCTATTAAAGGATCCGTCCCACATTTCTTGGTCTTCCCCAGAGTCCGATAAGAAGGCTGGCGTCAGGTTCATCTTTGTGCGTCTAGTCAAAGATAGCCCTAAGAGGTGTTAGCCTACAGCTTAGCCTAGGGGGGAATCTGCTAGCTCCACCAAAAGAACAAAAAAGCTGTTTGATTTACATGTTGTATCTCGTTAGCTAACATACTATCAGCAATCAACGCTGTAGTCAGCTGGGTTTAGATCCTGGGTTTGAGTCCCCTTAATTATAATTTCATAACATTGTTGCTTGAATATTTTCCATTAAACCTATTTATTTATTTATTTTCGTTGCCCCTCGCCTCACATTAACCCTTTCCCCCTCCCAAGCATTAAGGCTGATTTTTAGTCTGCAACCAACACCATCACTTACGTGAATGTGCATTTATTTATTTATGGTTAAATGCTGCAAAGTATCATGCACGGTTAAATGGAAATGCTAGTGGAAGAACAATCCCCTCATCCCTTTTTGTTACTGCCACTTTAAGAGTTTTAGATGCATAATTGTTTTCTGTGTGTGTGTGTGTGCGCGTGTGTGTGTGTGTTGTCTTAAATGCCAGTGCCAAATACACATTTCTGTTTAGTGCATATCTAATGGACAATAAAGTAATCTAAATCTGAAAGCATTTTGATGAAATCAATACTGTTTTTAAATGTGCTCTATAAATAAATTGACCTGACTTCACTTTGAAGTTGTTGGAAGGTGGATTTCCTCTTTTGATGGAGCCAGGCATCAATTTCCCTGCTTCCAGTCTTTGTGCTAAGCTAAACATGTCCTGTATGTCCAGAGATGAAACTGATATATGGTGTGTGTGTGTGTGTGTGTGTGTGTGTGTGTGTGTGTGTGTGCGGTCCTCACCAGCCTTCCCGATATTTACAGCCAGTTTGGTCAGTTTGCCCTGCAGCACCGACTTCTCCTTCTTCGTCACGTTGACCTTCTTCACTGGTTTGACCTCCTCTTTGTCCTCCTTCTCCTCCGACTCGGCGGCCTCCTCGCTCTTCAGCGGCTGGATCTCCAGGGCGATGCCGTCCTGGGTTTTGGCTGGGAGGGGGAGGGAGGGGTTGATAAGGTGGTGGGTCGAGGGGGGGGGGGGGGGTAAAAGGAAGAGGAACAGGAGGAGGAGGAAGGTGGGACCAGGGGGTTTGGAGAGTAAAAAGAGATGCGGAGGAGGAGGTTTAGGAGAGGTCAGGAAAAGGTTTGCGATGAAGAAGAGGTGAAGATGATGAGGGTGAGGAGGGAGAGAGTGATGAAATATTTTGAAAGAGGCAGACGGGTGTATTTTAAAGAATGACGATGGAAGAGAGGAAAGTTTTCAATATGATCGGGAGCAGAGGACGAGGGAAGGAAGGAAGGAAGGCAGGACGGGTTGACAAAAGGTGAATGAATCAAATCAATAAATAATAATAAATTCCAAAACAAAAAGAAGGAGGGAGCAGGAGTGGTTTGGGGATGAAGGGCAGAGAGGCAGAGAAAACGTTACAGATTCAGTCGGAGGGGAAAGCTGAAAACGACCGGACGAGTTTTTCTCAGAGATCAGAAAAAGACCTCTGACTCTTTATCAACTTTAACATCTTTAGGAACATGGTGACCCTTTGGCTGAATGCAAAGAGTCGCGTCTCATCAATGTATGATCACAGAACAGTCATGAAAAAAAGGTCCAGGTAGCTTTCAGAGAGACGAGTTGGGAGCAGCAGTTCGTAATGAAGAGCAGCAGACAGAACAGAGAACAGCAGATACAACAGAGAGGATTTAACCGGGGGCTGTCACTCACACACACACACACACACACACACACACACACTTTGTTTCACATCAGAGTTTGGAACGAGGCTGTTATGAAGTCTGGTTTCACGTCCTGCTCGGCGGCTTTGCTCCTCATTTGCATAAACAAACTGCGTATTTGCGTTTCACTTCATCAGCTGGGATCCTGTTTGGACTGTAGTAGTGTAACGTGGATCTGTTTGATCTCCGCTGAAGAGAGCTTACACCGAATTCAGCTGCACTCCCTCCATCCACGGCTGTTTGTCATATTTCCATACCAAAGAAATGTGAGCTGGTGCTGAATGTACACAGAGCAGACCTACACTGATCTGACACGCCGGGTTTTGATGTGCCGTTTGTCCTCGTGAACAGCTGAGCTGACAACACTGACTGAAACTGGGAGGATTTCTCGACTTTAAATAGTGGAAATGTTCTGATCCATCAGCTAACTGTACAGTGTCCCGTAGTGAACCCTGTTGGAGAGTCACTGCTGGTAACGTCAACATCACTTCTGGAACCAACAGATCATGGACATAAAGCAGGTTTAGATTCCTGGATGACCAAGAAGAAGTTTCTGGAGAACGAGAAGAAACTCTGGCTGTGATGTATAAAAATCTAACCAGGGAATTTAAATACAAATCAAAAGTGATGAGCCAAATGTCTGTTGGAGAACCTGTTTTCTTTATTACCTACTGAGGTGTCAAGTAACGACGCCTGTTGGGTCATCGACTGTTGAGATCAGATCCATTTCATTTTGGGGAGTTTTCTGTTGGAGAAACCTTCACTGGAAGCAGCCAAAAGCAAAATAACTAATGAATAATAATCATGATATTAATAATCTGGACTGTTTGGGAGTGTTAATAATGTCTATTGTCTAATAATAGTGTCTTTTATTTTGTGCCGTTTCTTCAGTGAGTTTTCAGCAGTAGGTTGAAGTTGAAAAGTATTAAAACAAACTGACGGATTGGACCTCATGCAAGAACAAACAAACAGAAAAGAAGAGAGAACTTTTTAAACTTTCATGGATTTAGCCTGTTGTTTAATTCATGTACAGATAGACGGAGAGATGCATGTGTAAGAGGCTTACTGTGTTTTGTTTATAGCGTGAAGGTGGGAGCGCTGTGAGGTTTTAATGGTGTTAGGGTGATATTTTTTACATGTAGATGTGTTATTGAGTATGTTTTTATTCTTCTAATGATGCGTTAAGGGGTTGTGGCTAAAGTGCTCATGTAGACATGGGAACCTACGCTCAGTGGCCAATTACGTAACTTGGTTTTAATCCTTTTAAATCCTTTTTGTGTGTGTCTTTTGATCTCGTCTTATTATATTGGCTTGTGTCTCAGTGCCTTTATTTCTCATGTAAAGCTCTTTTGAATTGCCTCGTTGTTTAACGGTGCTACACAAATAGATTTGCCTTGCCTGTACAATCCAATACAACTGTTCTGGTTCGAGTACAATAATACAATAATAAAGTCAGAGTTAAAGTGGTGTTGCACTGGACTACATCATATTGTGTGACAGAAAACACCCTGAACATTACAGGCATCATAAAAGTCAACTTTATGACAGAGCAGTATTATTGTAATGGCCTGCATTAAATTGTACCTAATAAAGTGGCCACTAAGGGTATTTCATCATCAAAGCTAATGCATTATGAACTGACTCCTAGTTATGTGGTGTGACGATCATTCTAGCGATTTATGTGCTAAATTTGTGTTTTTTTCTGCTAATTTATGACTTGAAGCGTGAAAGTTATTCTTTTCACTCTTGGGGGACGTCTTTTGTAAACAAAACTTCTCTACAAACGCAGCAGAGCAGATTGCCTCATAAAGCACTTTGGGGGTACCGATTAGGCTAATGACCAAATCTCACGGAAGTACACCTCGTAATGAACAGGTGGTATCCATCAAGTGAAGACGAAGGATTTACAACGAGGGAACCTGATGGAAAAGAAAAGAGGATAAGAAGACGAAAATGTTCTTGCATGGGGCTCAACGTCGCTGACAGAAGGAATCTGCTACGGTGACCAACATCTCCTCACAGCTCACTGTTCATGTTTTGTTGAAAACATCCACAGGGAGTTTGTGGAACGGGAGCAAAAGCAGGGAGTGCATCTTTAACATGAAGTTATGTGTTGTTTCTTTGGACACCTTTATCCCCAAAACTGCCTCACCGAGTTTCATCAGAAGTCATTTCGTGACAGCATGACCTCAACGAGACATTTAGCCTGAATGTGTGGATGAGTCGGTGTCAAACCAGGAAGCTGTGGAGCTTTATGCACATGGTCCACTCTGAAAACAAGCCACAACATAGAACTAACTGACACAGCTTCACATGAACAGGACTGAGACCCACTGACCAACCACAGAACTGTAAACAGGCGCAGCACTGAACCATGGGAGAGAGCGCACGGCGGGCAGAGGGGAGGGAGTGTCTCGACAGTCAAAAAGAAGAAAGCAAGTCAACAAACAGAAGACGAACTCAAAGGATCACCCCAGAAAAAAAGGAAAAAACGACAGCGATGCAGAACCACGACAGAGATAGACAGGTGGAGGTAGAGGAGGCTGCAGAGCTGTGGAGGCTGCAGGAGACTTCAGCAAGACAGAGAAATAACAGAAGAGGGAGAGAGTCAAACAGTGATTACGAGACAACATGAAGTCCTGAGCAACACCCTGCAAGGAGGCAACAGTGAGAGAGCTGAGAGGAGTCAAAAAGGCGAAAAGAAAAGGAACTGAGGATACACAAACAGAACAGACGACAGCCCACAGCCCACTAATACTGCAAGGGTGCAACTCCCACACACACACTGACAGCCAAAAAAAACATCACGGCACTGTTTGGATCAGTTGACAATCACATTCATCAGAACATAATGGATGTGGGGAAATGTGTGTTGGGGGAAAACATTTTAAATCCTTCGCTAACTCAAAAACAATGAGGCCTGTTTTTGATTTCTCTAAACTCCTCCTGCACAGATGTTTCAAATTAAAAGCCTTCCAGCAGCTCAAAGGACAAATACCACCTTTCCTGGAAGGCTTTTAATGTGAAACATCTGCAGGAAGTTTCATTAATGCTAATTTAATTTAAACAAACAAAAAAAACAAGGCAACAAAGAAGTGACCGAGGGAATGCAAGCAGTATTGGCGTTAAAAAGAGAAAGTGAGAGCAGCAGAGTGGTGAAATGACATGACTCTGCTGTACTTGAATTGATTTTAAGAAGCTTCCCTGTTTTCTGATTTGCTCTCCTTTAATCTGTTCACACAAACAACAGGAGTAATTTCACCACTCTGCTGCTCTCATTATTCTTAACACCGATATTGTTTTCATTCAGTCCAGTTGCTTCCACTCCGCTGTTATTTCTATCGCTGTTGTGTTATTTCCTGCACAGATGTCTCCCTTTAAAAGCTTTTCAGAAGCTCAAACAGCATAATTTCCCCGCAAACAATTAGTTGATTTATCATCCAGCCCACTTACAGAAAATTGAACTGCCAACCATGTTGATAAATGATTAATTGCTTAAATCAAGCTTGTCCCAGCTTATGTTTGTGAGGCTTTTGTTGCTTTAGTCTCATGAGATAGTAAACAGAATATCTGTGGGTTTTAGTTTGTTGAATTTAGATTTTGAGATGTCAAATTCGGCTTCAGGAAAGTGTGATGGGCGGATCAATAGTCAAAGAAAATAATCCCAAATACTCCCTTTTTCCTAGCAGGCTTTCATAGTGAAACATCTGCAGGAAGTGATAGTAGCTTAACAGTGATGGGAAAAACAGTGAAGTAGAAGCATTTGAAGGTATTAACCAACTGCGAGGGTTTGATTTAAAGCTGCAGTCATTGTTTTTTGGCCACTGGGGGGCAGAAAAACTCTGACGGAAACTGACGGAAACATAATTCTGACACAATATAAAGTATAAACAGCCGTCTACTTCTACAGCCAGCAGACACAAAGAAATATTAACAACTCATCGAAGCTGTGTAAAAAAACAGCTGCTGGTGCAAACATTGTAAATGAGAGAAACGAAAAACATACAGAAACCAAAACTAGGAGATAAAATGAGCTAATGAGCTAAACAGAGCAGTGAGAAATGTTCCACTAAGTTACCAAGAGTGGAATGTGACTGAGTACATTAACTCAAATACTGTACCTAAGTTTGAGGTACTTGTACTTTAATTGAGCATTTAGATTTTATGCAAATGTAAACTTATATAATATTTTACCTTTTAATCCCCTTCCTCTTACAGTATCTCCAGATGTGGTGATTTTGAATTCAATTATTTATGGGTTGAGAAAATTCTCCTAACTCTTAAATTAAAAACCTTTGAACAGCTGGAAAATGCCTCATCACAAAGCTGAAACCATCTGATAATCTTATAGAATATGATGCATTGCTGTAGATTAAACTACAAAACGGTTTGTAAAGGAGTTAAAATTAGCGTAACATAACAAAATGCAACACACATTAATGCAGCAGTAATATTAATCCAGAAACATCATATATAATCGTAAAATACTGTCGGGGAACATTACTGCACGATCAATACTTTTACTTTACTTTTCATTCTTTAAGTAAATTCTGCAATTCCAACGTATACGAGTAATTAGTTATTTAGTAGTGATGTTGATGGATTAAGGTCTTAATCTTGACATTTAAGCGCCAAGTATTTCAATTCTACATATTGTGTTTTAAATATACATAATGACTCTACAGCAAAAAAAAAAAAAAAACATACTATAATAGCGATAAGCGCTAGCACTAGCGATTAACATAAGCTAATTGAAAGGTAGATGGCTATCATGAACGGTAAGTTGAAAACAATAAAGTGCGGCTACACATTAAAGTAACAGACTGAGCTCAGCAGTTCATGTGCTGCTTTTTATGTTCTGCAACTGTAGCATGGTTGAATTATCAAGCTAGCTAGCTAACTAGCCACCCGCTAAATGAGTCAAATTTAACAACTTCATGTTTCATCCACACTGTTCTCACAGCTTACCCAAGCACATTGCTATCGCCAGATAATCGGAAATGTTAAACTCTGCACATGTTGATACCCCTTTTCATGCTCAAGAGGCTTTTTTCGTATTTTTTAAATATCCAGGGTAGAGGCCCTTTTAGTTTAGGGTTTAGTTACTCTTCAAGTTAACAATCTGAAAACTTCTTCCACGACTGAAAAAACTACAAAGTCGTCATTCTGACTAAAGGTGTTTGTGCGGATTTCGTTCTCTGTGTTTTTAGTGGAGGTCATCTGTGACTGCAGCTCTGCGAATTATTCCTGTGTGCAAAAGTGTGATGAGCGTCCAAGAGCAAGGAGTGTGTGTGTGTGTGTGTGTGTGTACATCAAGAAGCATTCTGTCCACAGCAGATGCTCAAACCATGGGAGGTCAGGAGGAGGGGAGCTCTGTGTGTGTGTGTGTGTGTGTGTGTGTGTGTGTGTGTGTGTGTGTGT